CACCCATAGGTCCTCAAGAGCTATCCTATGAGGCTACCCATAGATCCCCAAGCGCTATCCTATGGGGGTACCTATCGGTCCTCAAGGGCTATCCTATGGGGGTACCCATGGGTTCTCAAGGGTTATTATGTGGGGGTACCTATTGGTCCCCAAGGACTATTATGTGGGGGTACCCATAGATTCCCAAGGGCTATTATGTGGGGTACCCATAGGTCCTCAAGGGCTATCCGATGGGGGTATCTATAGATCCCCAAGGGCTATTATGAGGGAGTACCCGTAGGTCCTCAAGGGCTATCCGATGGGGGTATCCATAGATCCCCTAGAGCTGTTATGGGGGGGGGGGGGGTACCGGTAGGTCCCCAAGGGCTATCCTAGGGCAGTACCCATAGGTCCTCAAGGGCTATTATGTGGAGGTACCCGTAGGTCCCCAAGGGCTATCCTACGGGGGTACCCGTAGGTCCTCAAGGGCCATCCTATGGGGGTACCAATAGGTCCTCATGGACTATCCGATGGGGGTACCCATAGGTTCTCAAGGGCTATTATGTGGGGGTACCGGTAGGTCCTCAAGGGCTATTCGATGGGGGTACCCATGGGTTCGCAAGGGCTATTATGTGGGGGTACCCGTAGGTCCCCATGGGCTATCCTATGGGAGTACCCATAGGTTCGCAAGGGCTATTATGTGGGGGTACCCGTAGGTCCTCAAGGGCTATCCTGTGGGGATACCCATCTGTCCTTCAGGGTTATCCTATGGGGGTACCCATAGGTTTCCAAGGCCTATTATATGGAGGTACCCATTAGTCCCCAAGGGCTATCCTATGGGTTACTCATAGGTCCTCAAGGGCTATCCTAGCGGGGTACTGATTGGCCAGCAAGGGCTATTATATTGTGATACCCATAGGCCTTGAACTGAGTAAGGCAATAGGGAGGTAAGGATTTAAGGTCGAAGGCTACATTGCCTATAAACATATGTGCGATATGAGAGTATGAGGCCGTAGGGCTATCTATCTATATACATAATATCGAGTGTCTGTATGTATTTTGCCGGATGAAAAGTTAAATGTGTGAGGTCATGCGTTAAAGGGCATAAGAGCCGTGCAGTATGCACGGGTTCTCGCTAGTGTTTAAAATAAATCACACTCTAGATTCTAATGCATTTTGACGTTTATTGTAAAAAACTTATCAAAATATAGAATAGCGTGCAATCAAACATGCTTGGTAGTTAACACTAATGTCGAGTAAATGCAAAGGATAATATGTATCTCTTCAAAGTTTAGAAATAGATATATTGGCATTGTTTTCTAGCACATATAAATCAATATAAACAAGCTGCTTTGTGTTACTAGCATTTCACATATATTAAAGTGTGCCATTATTAATAAATCAAGAGAGAATATATAAAGTTTACATTTCAGTATTATTAAAGCTGTGATAACATATTTTCTTACTCATTTTATGGCTAGTTTCATTATTTTTAATCAGTTGATCATACAATGGAAAAGAAAACTAAAGATAGAGTAAATTCTTAGGTAGCAATAACAGCATAGATTATTTGTATTGCATTCTTATCACACAGAAAAATCAATCAAGTTAGTCTACTCTGATCGTTGAACAATACAGACCAGAAAAAAAAGGTAAGTGAAGGTAATTTTACAAGCAGCGTTAATAAATACCTATTTTCTGTTGAATGTCGGTTATTTTCCAGATATATTCACCACAATAAGAAGTAGATAATGCATCATCTAAAATTCGTTGTATTGATCTAAGTTCTTGAGCTATAAAATCATAATTAATACTGAGACTTTGAGCAAGAGTTTGAAATAATATGTGATTATGACGAATTATACTATGAATTTGTTGTTGATTATTAGTCATACTACTATGATGTGGTAAAAATATACTACATGAAGAAGAAAAAACATTGGACATGGTATCTTGTTGTGTTCCACTCGTATCTACAGTTTGGTCAAGATTGTTTTGTTGATACTAAAATAATTGTTATGCATTTATTATATAAATTGAAGATTTAACAAAGAAATTCTTCTCACTGATAAATTGCTTTTAAATCGAGACTATGTATATTACGTAGATCTAAAAGAGTTCGTGTCCTTAATTGATTGTTATGAAGATAATGCACTTTGATGATATTTTCTAAATGACTGCTGTGGCTTCCCTTCACAAAATACCGTTAAAATGTAGTAGTTTCATAGAAATGCGTTAAGGACATGAACTCTTCTCAGAGTAAAAGACGTAGTCTTAACTTAAAAGCGCTTTCTTAGTTGAAAGAGTTCTCTCGTTAACTACATACCAGCTGAGTATAGGCATCGACCAAGATAGTCTTAGATTCACTGTTGTAATGCTGTTGATCGATATGTTGCTAACAAAAAAAAAACATAAAAAACTTACAATGCATAGTCTAAAGCATTATTTATATTTTATACTTGATAGATTTCGGAAGATCCAATCCAAGTACACATGGAACAAGATATTAATTTCTGTTGTATGTCTCGAGAAAAACCACGATCAGATTGAATCTAAAACAATAAAAATCGATAGAAAAAATAACACATAATATCATTAGATATACATTTTGCCAGGATGAGACTTCAAAACATCTTAAACAGACTCTTTGACTAAGAAATATAGAATTAAATTAAAATTCAATTTTATAAAAAATCAAAAAATCAAATACACTTACTTATTTATGAAACTAGTACATGATTCACAAGTACGATGTCCACAATTGAACTGATAAGACTCACGAAATACTAATTTACACTTTGAACATATAGAATGGGATGAAATTTCTTCCATAGTTCTGATAGAATAATTATGTGTCGTTGTGTTAGAAAGCCGATTTGATTTTGGTGAATGACAACTGACAATATTTGACAGTTTAGTACTAATACGTTGTTCTATCGATGATACAGCACTATCTAATGTTTCATGTTCAATCGATCTTGGTGAATTTATAGCATAATCAACCATTAATTTTCCTATTATTTGTGTTTTTACGTTTTCATGAAAAAACCGAAGTTTTGCATATTTGATTTGATAGGCATTTTTATCTCGTTCCAGATCATGATCATTACTATAATATACATAAATTGTTTTAACTTGTGGATAATTATAAATTGGATCATCAAGTAATAGTGAGAGAATATCACCAGAAACGATTAATAGAAATTTATCTACTTCATTAATATGCTTGGACGCATATTGAATCATTGTAATTATATTTAAGAAAAATATAACTGACGAAGATTTGATATTCTCTGGAATGATCTTAGACCCAAGCACAAGAATCTTGGTTATATCAGTACTTCTATTCAAGGCAGTAGCCATGTAAGTAGATCTAATAAATAAAAGCAAAATCATAAAAATGCGTACAAAAGCAAAAGGAAGTACTTACTACAATGCAAAACAATAAATGTTGACAAATATATAGAAGAAAAATGTTAAAATTTTAGTCTAATATGACTTTACAAATAATCTAAAATATAAATAATTCATCATTAAATAGCCACAAACAAGTGATATAACAATATATATATATATATATATGATTTTAACACTACAGATATATGTTTGTATGATAGAAATAAAGCCGTAAAGTACAATAACAACAGCAAAACCATGCACGTGTAAAAATAGTGAGGCATTATTTATAAGAAAAAAAAAGTATTTAATAGCATTGTCATCCTACCGGCCTCTCTAGTTTTCTATTTGAAAAACAGTACAATGTATGAGGGTTTTTAGACAAGGGATTTCTATATGTATCTTATGAAGAATGCTTCTTCAACGAAATATAAAATATTTATTGTTAGCAATTACGGAAAAAAAAACTGTAAATCAAGTTTTTTTGAAGTTCAGAAATAATGAAGTTAAGAAAAACGTCGAATTAAAATATTTCTAGAAAATTAGTTGCTCTATCGCCATATATAATTGAAAGAAACTTTTATGTTGAAGTTCTAAAAGCTAAAGAACTAGCTTTGGCTTATTCTAGAGATTTTGAATTTAGGAATTACTGTGAGAAAAAAAGAAACTGAATTTTGTATAATAAATTTTGAAAGTCAATATGATATGTTCCAGCTGGTTCTAACATATAGCTATTTCACTTTTTTAAGGATTGTACTAATACCTTTAACACACTGTAACTTACAATATTATCTGAACTCTATTGGTTGACTAACAACAAAATATTTGGTATATTTAACCATTACATGCCCTTATTTCGAAACTAATATTTAATATAACTATGGGATTTTTCGAACGAAGGGATAAACGAGCAATATTACCTTATCTATCTAGGAAAATTTTCATTTCTAACTTTAACAAAATTGAAGAATTCATTTATCATAAGTTATTGTCGCAATAATTTTTCTTTTTCATCCTTCAATCTTATTAGATATGAGACACGCTCTAGATTAATCTAAATTAGCACTGTTTTCAACAAAATAAAAACTAGAAAAAGAATCGAAATGAAACCTTCATATTCATGCAAAACCTAACTATTTCTAAAAAGAAAATATTTGAGAGATATTTGAATCTATTTCTTGAAATGGAAAATTGTCTGGTGAATAAACTGAAGCTAAGAAATTTTGTAATTAAAAAAAGAAAATTTATTTGATTTTTATTCGAATCAAACAAATTTTCAATGTTAGTTCTAGAGTCCTGCAACGGGATCGGGTACCCGGCACCCGACCGGACCCGAAACTGTGGTCCGGGTACAAATTTGCCGGGTCGGTTCGGGTGCCGGGTATAAAAAAAATGCCGGGTCGGGTGCAGAATTTGAGCATACCCGGTACCCGACCGGTAGTCGATGACATCTTAACAAGTAAAAGTATTTTACACTCTAGGATAGAGTCCTGCAACGGGGCCGGATACCCGGCACCCGATCGGACCCGGACCTGTGGTCCGGGTACAAATTGTTACTTGATGAAATTAAAATAATAGTATATTTTGCCATATGAAATAAAAGTTTGAAAAGTGAATATAATTTTGACAATAACAATCAAGTGCTGACTATTTCAAGGCTGGGCCGGGTCCGGTCGGGTACCGGGTAGAGCTATCCGGGTCCGGTTCGGTTCCGGGTGGAAGATGACCGGGTCCGGTCGGATTCCGGGTTTGAAAAAAATGAGCCGGGCCGGGTCCAGGTGCGAAAAGTAGTACCCGTGCAGGACTCTAGTTAGTTCACGTCATATTAATAGGATTTTAATAAAAAAGAAAATATTCTTCGATCTTGAAAAGGAGAAATCAATTATCAAATATCTCTCAAAATTTATTTAATGTATAATAAAGTTATATATTCATACTTTATATACATTTTAAATTTTCCTGACTAGTGCACATAATTTAAGTGCTCGAGCATAGTTCTTTTGGACTTCCATTTCATTGTTGTCGTCTTCTCTTTGTCGATCTCCTAATTCTTCAGAAAAAAGTGCAAGATCAACCACTAATTTTATCAGGAGACGATTATCATCATCAAAAATTCCATCAACTTTTGGATAAGATCTAGAATAACGTTGTATTGCTATTAAATCCGTTGTTCTACAACGGACAAGAATCGAACGAATACCAGCATAAGTATGAGTTCGAGCGATAAGTTCTTGAATATGAATGTCTGATTGAAGAATAAGAGAGGCAATTGTTAGTGAAGAATTTAAATCCAACCATTGTCGCAAATGTTCTTCTACCGAAAAGAGTATCAAAGTAATATCTTCTGCTTTTAAATATGTAATCAATGCAATTCTCAAGGATGAATATTGTGAACCACACCAAATAACAATAGGAGCGGTAGAACAAACTAAACATAAACAAGATCTATTTACTTATTACAGTACGAAAAAACCCTTATAAAACTATATTTCTACATTAATAACAACTCATACCATTTCCATAAACCCAATGAGATGGGGGATTGAATCGATCAGTTAGCTGATCAATAAAATGTGATTCATCTTGGTTAGTAAGTACTTTGTTTTCTGGTAATGATTCTATCGATAAAGTAGTTGCATGATAACGAATACTATATAATTTATCTACGATCGATGACATGCGAAAAGTAAAGATTTTTTTCAATTGATTTAAATTTTTAAACAATAGAAAATGAAAAAAATCTAAAAACAAAGACGCATGCATCATAGATGTAGTTTAGGACAAAATTGAAATTAAAAAAAAAAACAAAAGAATCATTATTTCTATTAATTTTTCAATACGTAAATTAACGACGACCAAGATATGAGAAAATACAAGATAAGAATATATTCATATACCTTTTTTTTAAACGATAATCGCTAACATATTTTGAGAAGGACAGAGAAAAAAAAATGACGTTTGTTGCTTATAGATGCAAATAATATATATTTTTTACGTTGAAGAGAAAAAAAACGGAAGTAGCATTGGCAAGTGGGGAACTTCCAAGCTTGCTTCAACGTCATTAAGTAATTCCAAACTATTTTCATTTTTGTAATAATAACCTATATTTTAAGACAATGTGGGCCTTCAGTTCTGAAAAGATCCTACCTTTCAATATTTACCAGTTTCTATGTCGTAGACATATGTATAAATGTGCTACTTAGTCTGATTAAAAAACATTTGTCTTTTCTCGTCAAAATTTTGTATTCTCTATATACGTACCATGAAAAAGAATGCTAAGAGAAAAACAATTGGGTTGGAAATTTCCAAGTTTACTTCAAGGTTATCAAGTAATTGCAAAATATTCTTGTATTAGTAGTAATAACTCCGAATTTAAAACAAAGTAGATGTCAATATTTGAAAGAATCCTACCTTTTAGGTTCCACAAACTTTTATGGTATAGACATGTACGGTTATACTAGTCTAAACATAAAAGTATCCGAATGGCTTCAAAGTATCAAATAATTTTTATCATATGAAGTATTAAAAAAATCCTGTTGCTGATGATTCAGAGTGAAATTCAGTGCTAGCGTCAAACATTATAATTGTAAATACATACATGAATATTTTGTGTATCACAAGAATAAATGTGGACTTTTAAAAACGAATTCTTTTCGTATGAACTACTTCTCACTTCTATTTAAATTAGCATTTTGAAACGTCGAGATGTTATTTAGAGTCATAGAGAAAAATGTTACCTTTTGTGTTTCATCCGCAAATAAGAAAATAGAAAAAAACTTGGTAGATGTTGGGATACTTGATGAAGTGATTGTACGTACCGTTAAACAGAATAATTAGAGAAATAAAAAAACAACTAAATGTTACCAATAACCCAGTTAAGTGGGAATTTCCCAAGCTTTCAAGGTAATAAAATAACTGAGTAAATATTCTTCTCCTTTGATACTCGTACAGTTAATAAAAATGACAAGAGAAATACGAAGACAGGTGAGTGTAGAAAAACAACTATATTGTTGGAAAAAACCTACTAAGGTTGGAAGATTCCCAATGGGAATAAAAACCCTTTCTTTTTCTCTTTCTGTTTCTACTAGCATCTCATGTATGCAATATTAAGAATGTGTAAGAATGAAAAAAAAAAAAACAAGATGAGTAACAATTATTAATATTGGTTCTTTATGTTGTTGTTTTTTAATGACTAGCATTCTTTTCTTGTTTGCTGAAGAAAATGACAAAGAAAATTCAAGAAAAAAAACACACAACATTAATTTTTATCATGCAATTAGTTCTTTAGTCATGATATTGAATCGCTATGAAGAATAGGTTTTTTATTTCCTATGGCTATCATAACAAAATCAGATTATATCTGGGCGCTAGTACATTTCGTCGCATAACACTTCGTCGTACGACATTTTGTCGCAGAACATTTTTTTTTCGTTCTGTTTGTCGCAGAACAATTTCTTTCGTTCTGTTCGTTGCAGAATAATTTTTTCTTTCATTTTGCTTCTTGTATTTCTGTTAATTAGTCCTGTTTTTTTTGATAACTAGTCAAAATAAAATAAAGTAAATGAAAAACTCTAAAATATGGGTACAACAAGGACAGACAATTGATTGCTCTAAAACGTACGACTTGAATTCGGAAAATAGATCGATAAAAGGTCTGAATCAAATGTAATTCTGAGACAGTTGAAGTCAGCAAAAAATAATTATAGTTGTCATTATGTTAATGAATTTTAACATTGACTAGATCAACGATAACATTGCCAGGACCCGATGGATCTGACTATCTGATAGCATCAGATCTTATCGGAGTCCTTAGTATTGAATTCTATTGGAATTCTTGGAATACGACGAGT